TAAAAATTAGATAAATGAAATACAAAGCTTGAACAAATTAAATTTGTTAGGTTTTAAAAATAAGCTTTACAGTTGAACAAAAAAGCTTGAATAAAAGAAAACAAACTTATTTTCTTTATTTTGCAGTGTGCACAGCCTAAAAGTGTGCAATGCCTAAAAGCGGTCCTTTAAAGTACTAAACGCACGATTAAAGATTATGAACCAGTTTTTCATCGTACGATCTCTCAAGAAAGGCCTGCCTAATAGCGAAAAGTCAGTCTTAATGTTTTTCCAACCGCAATGACGTTGAAGCACCGTCAGGTAATGAACACTGTAGATACCATCTCACAGTAAAACATTACACCTGAAAGTGTAAACGAAAAAAGAAGGACCCTCACCACTTGGTCTCCGGTTTCAGTTTGTACGCTTGATACGCGGCCAGAGTGAAGAATGACAACTCTGTCTCGGACATCACTCCACACTCCTCTAGGGTCTTCTCTCCGGGGAGGATCAACAGCTCATCATCCTCTAGGTTGATGACGATATCATTTGCTTTGAAGCTGCCGGCTTGGTGGGATATCTTGAGGGTATCGTAGGGGTGTGTTTTGAAGGGTGGTGGGATACCTTTTACTGATTTGAGGTCCTGGACAAGACGAGCGATGAATTGGTCTACTGTTTGAGTGATGTCCACCTCTCGGATAGGAATGGTGCGGATTGTGCGGTATTCGAAATTTCGAATAAGCCGAACCGTAACTATCATGTAATCACCTATCTTGGCGATAAGTCGGTTAGGTGATAATAATTCAGACAATTTGATATTCAAAATGTTTTGATTGAAAATATTATAGTTTTGTCTATAATCATGATTTCAATACTCATCGAATTTTGATGTCAATCATCAATCAATCACTCTAAGCCATTTGTATACTTTAAAGCTCTGAAGAATTGAAACATGGATATGAAATCTTGAAAAAAAAAACCACCACAAGGAAACACATAGTTTTGAAACAAAGAAAAAAGTTTTAGATCTCAAAAGTTAGAGAGTTAAACAAAATCTTGACTTTCAACAGGCAAGAGAGCTCAACACATACGGAGTTTGTTGGATGTAGAAACGCTATTTTAACAAAGGGTGACAAGACATAATCCAGACATTAATAAATATTAAAGATCTTCTTAGGTTAGACTTCTGGATCGAAATGTCTCGAATCACACCCGTTTGAGCATGTATGTTTTTAGATTTTGATTTGATAAATACCCAGTTATCTTTTACTAATATAAGCGCGGCAGCTGTTAGTTTCCTATTCACTCAACATATCAAATATAATAGTTCAGTATCAAACTCGACCACCAGAAAAATTACGATTTTGATTAAAAATCACGTGACTAAAACCACGTGGCAACTAAAGAGTTTTCCTAAACTAGAATCAATAATCAATCCGACTCTAAAAACCACAAAACGACACCAAGATTTAATCTCTCAAGAAAACTGAGACTCTGGGGTGTCTGGAATCAGATCCTGCCAAATCCTCATGGAGCAGCGACAATTTTAGTTGGTCTGACTTGAAAGCTGATTGGACGTCTTGAGCACCACACCCACTGCGATCGTTTTACCTGTAAAAGGTAACCATAAAACAAATCGTATTACATACTGAACTAAAAATGAACAATGCCGGTTTTAAATAGAGTTGTTTGTGTCAACTGTAAAATAAATTTGAACCAGACTAAACAGCGACAGCAAACAGTAACTTCAAACCACAGTTCTAATCGACCACTAACCTTCATCCCTCAACGTGAATCTGCCCAACTGAGGGAACTGATCAAAAGACTCGATACAAATGGGTGTGGCCAGCTGTAACTTAGCGAACACCACCTCCCGTTCTTTAGCGCAGCGCGGCTTAACTGGCTTCCCATTCTTTTCCACCATCTTCTTACCTGTCTTCTTATCCATCAGACCAACCAGTTCCTGTAGAGACAAAATTGTTTATTTTTGGTCTCTTGGATGGTTGCCAAAATAAATTATTTATAATTTTGATTGATGGAGATAAAACCTTCCAGAGATTTTCTTATAATAGTATTGAAACCTCTGTGCAACGCAACACCAAGATAATGTCCTGTTTACCTCAAAAGATACTTCAGTGACCGAAGAGTGAATGTGCATGATACAATTGAAACCAGGAGCTATGATATTCCGCAGCTCCACAAGTTGAATCTTTGCTAAGAATCTGTCGGCTATTTTACACAAGCTATCCATACTGCACAGCACAAATCCTGCAGGATAGAGAAAAGTCACTTTTAGAAATTTCTACTGTATTGATTACTATAAGTCGCACCTTAATAATAAGTGGTCGGATTGCCCAGCCTTAGAAGGCATAATTATTATTTTCCGTTGAAACTACTGAAGATCTAGATTTGGTATTATCACTGACCTGGAGAAATGTCTTCTTCTTCAACGTTTCTCAGTTTCAGTTTCACGTTGTCTCCAGACTCAGCCACCTCTGAGTCCATGTCGTCGATCAGAATTTCCGCGATTTGCACCACCGTCTGTAAAGAGTGTGTTGCGTAAGAAAAACATAATAAAACAAATCAAATGCAATTAAGTACAGCAACCTTGACCCTTCATTCATCTGACAAACAAAAGGTATTCGATAGATTCACAACATTTTTGGATTCCTTACCTTGTTTGGCATAATAGTAAGGCTCTGATTTTTGCGGCATTCCCCACTTATAACTTTTCCCATAACCATAGTTCCCATATCCTTAAACTTCTCAACGATAGACATCCTGAAAGATTATCATGGTTAAAAATAGAAGGCACTGAGTATTTAAAGCTTATTCGAACAGAGCAAATTATGGTGGATTCTACCTAATCAAGAGAATATCTAAGTTGATTAACAGGTATCAATTCTAAAGAAAAGGTGCTAAACATTACATACTATTTGACAGAATTTCTCATATTACCTGAATGGCTTGCCGGTTTGATTTGTCTTAAACGATGGCAATTCGTCCAAATAGCTCAAGAATGGCGGTCCTTTGTACCAAGGACACACTTTGGGATCTAGCGGTTCCTTTAGATTAGCTCCAGTTAGACCTGATGCAGGCATAAACTTGATGTCACTTGTCTTGAAGCCACTTTGCTTTAAGAAGGGCAGCAATCGACTGCAAATGTCATCGTATCTGAGAAAATGAGAATACAATCAGAGCGGAAACATAGTTACGTATTTAAGTTCAGAAGTGGTTATTGAATAGCGAATAAATAGTGAGGGGGTTAGGGACAAACCTTCCTTTGTCCCATTCTACTGAGGGGTCGTCCATTTTGTTGATTAACACAATTAGATGCTTCACGCCTGCAGTCTTTGCGAGCAAAGCGTGCTCTCTAGTCTGACCACCTCTGTCGAATCCTGTTTCAAATTCTCCCTTTCTTGCTGAGATTACCTGACAGATGGAACATGTCTTGAAAAACGAATTTCGGTTTAAAAAATCGTTAAGATATTTCTGCCCAAAATTCAATGAACTGAACATATATATATATATATACGTCGTTTACAAAGGGGATTCCAAATAAAAATATCAGATGTTTTCTTACCAAGATTCCCACATCAGCCTGAGCAGCACCTCCTATCATATTAGACACAAAGCACCTATGGCCGGGGGCATCCAAAAGGGTGAATCTCTTCTTCTCTGTTTCAAAGAATCCACGGCCGACTTCGACAGTCTTTCCCTTGTCTCGCTCTTCATCATTTGTGTCCAGTGCCCACGATAAGTACCACGATTCTCTGTTCATTTCCTTAGCTTCGCGCTCGAACTTCTCCAACGTTCGTTTGTCCACCTGTAAAGTAGTTGGTTCTGTCAATAACGATGTGAGATAAGTCAAATTAGAACGGAAAGATGAAAACCACTATAATTAAATTTTAGATAAAACAAAGATAATCTGACCTGTCCTGTCAGATAGAGAATGTGTCCACCAATAGTGCTCTTTCCGGCGTCCACGTGACCGATAAAAACAATATTAACGTTATCCTTCCTCTTCTCCTTTGGTGGCGGGGGCGGCTTCTTAACTGCAATATCAATACTTACAGAGCCATCAAAACTTAGTTTAAATCCTTTAAAAAAATGAGTTTTCGTTTTCAAAATCTGTAGTGAGTAAAATAGTCAAATAGGAAATACAAAGGGATCCGAGCGACTTTACTGGGCCCAGAAAATTCCCTCCACGACAAAAAAGCGCTGTTTCTGAGGTGGAAACCCCCGAGGCAAAGGCTTCGATTTTTGGAGGTAAAACAGGTAAACTTATCTAAAAGGGAATCAGATAAAACTAATTTGTTCCAGTCTGTAAAACAGACAACAATAATTGCCCTAACCTGGTGCTGGTTGTGGTACAGCAGCTGGTACTGGGGCTTCTGGTTCCGATTCTTCTTCAACCTCCATTACTTCTTCTTCTGGTTCTTCTTCTGTTACTGGTGGTTCTTCTTCCATCTTTATTGGCTCTTCCAGTTTGATTATTTTAGGTTCCACAGGATCATTTCTGTGAATAATTTTTTTGGTCACTGGTAAATATCTCTATTACTCCATCATAATCACAATTGACGAATAAAATTGGTCGTTGAGCTTAAGAATGTAATAACTAACCTGTTTGAGTCTGATACGGGGTTCTCTACCAATTTAGGCTGTAAGTGCCCATTGAACTGAAGAGGTAAGGGGACAGGAGCTGGATCGAATCTGGGGACGAATGATGGAGCGAAGGCGCTAGGTACAAAAGCCGGGGCCTCGATATTAAGATTACCTAAGTTACGAGCTGCGTTGTCGACTTCGTAGTCGTCTTCCCATGATTCTGGTTCATGTGACATGCTGTAAATAGTAGCGGAGTTTACAGGGCATTAGAGACTATGTTGGGGAGTTGTAAGTTGGACACGTTTGTTTGAAACCCCACGGTGGAGGGTGGCGTGTGCCGCAATTTATTACTGCACTAGTAATCTTGACTCGATGAAAGAAGAGTCTACAAGTTATATAATAAAGAGACTGTAGGATAAAACATAATTATTCACATTTAAATAATTAAAAAGATGAAGTCTGCAAAGCCGTAAAAGAGACCGAAAATGAAAATTTAACAACCCGGTATATATTCTATTCTACAATTATACGAACAAATCATCGCGTGAAGATGAGAAAGACCTCAAGATTTTCGTGACATTTTAACGCCGCGCGTTACGCAAACCAACAATTTTCGGCTCTAAAACGTGCCCGAGGCAGGACCAGTTCATGTGACGTAACTCCAGTCTCCACAGTCCACGGTTTACTCTAAATTGCAACATTTAATGGCCAAATCACATAACAACATTCGCATCATCGTCTCCGACTCTTTCTGACTCTTTTTTCTTCTCCAAAACGTTCTTAAACTGCTCAGTCATAACCTTCCTGACCTCATTCAGAGCTCCCTTAGTGTAGAACCCATGCTCATGAGAATACACGTCAGTTTCAAAGTTTTTGAGGACTGCTTGACATCTTGTGTCCTGTATATCACAAACCTGGACAAGAAGTATTAATCATTAGCATTAAGTTAAGCACTTTAAGTGCATTGTCATCATTATTTTTACATAGTTTAATAGATTACATAACTTAGTATGATGCGTCTACTGATACGATATATCGGTGCGGACTAAGATTTGTACAATCGTCAACATTATTTTTACTCCATACCACATACACACTCATCATTGGCGGTTGGCAGTTGCAACGTTTCGCAATTATACTATACATGCTTGATAAGCTTTTAACTTTCAACATATATTATGTTGAAAGTTTAAGGCTTGAATGAATACGTTCCAGTAAAACTGATTCCTATAATTATCAGTAATGGCCCTCAAATTAAGAGAATTATATCCTATAATTACAATATAATAACCCTTAACCACAAGCAACCTGGTAATGCGACTGTCGTTTAAAAGGAAGCTTGTCAGCTTTGTAGATATGACTTGTTAAAGCATCCTCGCTCGATTCTATCTCACTCGTCTCAGGTTTACCAATCCTTGACCTGTTCGTCTTGTTGTAACTGTACCGCTGTGGAAGGTGTGGTCTTTAAAAATAAGGATAGGTATCCCACAAAATAGTTAAAAGTTGGTGTATAAAACCGTGATTAGCGCTTATTTCTCAGAAATGTGATTCTTAGTATCATTATATAAATGAATTGAAGTAGAACTTTATATTTTAATATTTTCACCACTACTTTAAATACTATTTATAGTTATATATATAACGAGTTATATTATACAACGAATAATTTGAGGAAGCGATGTAACAGAGCCAATGTATTTAAAGTCCCCAATCATTACAACCTGCTAATTTCACTGCCTCTTAATACAACACAGTACAATACATAATACATAATACATAATACATATACCCCATATAACATATTCATATCATCATACCATTAGGATATTAACGAGAAGCGTTTAAGTGTGGTGGATACTTTAAGTCAAACAGTTGCTTTATATGGACATATTACATAGAAATAAGACACATTGTCTCGTTTTACCTCAATATGACCAGCAGTCTCTCAATATGACCAGCAGTCTCTCAATATGACCAGCAGTCTCTCAATATGACCAGCAGTCTCTCAATATGACCAGCAGTCTCTCAATATGACCAGCAGTCTCTCAATATGACCAGCAGTCTCTCAATATGACCAGGTCTCTCAATATGACCAGCAGTCTCTCAATATGACCAGGTCTCTCAATATGACCAGCAGTCTCTCAATATGACCAGCAGTCTCTCGATATGACTAACAGTCTCTCGAAGATGGTCCGCTATACTTTTTATAAACGTTTTTAAATTCAATCATAACTTAAAGAATTAGTAACGTGGAGTAAAGTATAATTAAATAAAAGTAAAGTAGAGTGGAGTGAAAAGTAAAGAAAAGTCGATATAAGATAAACTTGTCACTATATGGTGCTGTCACTATATAATAGTGCGTTTTGCACGCTATATAGTGACAAATATCAGCTGTCATTATAAAGTGCTTGTCATTATATAGTGTTGTCACTATATAGTGCGATTACCGACCAGATTACAGGGAGAGTGTGTGAAACTAACCTTGACAGCAGATTTAGCCTGAACTATTCTCGGTGCTCTGAAGTCTATAAGTTGGTAGGTTCTGTTTAGGGCGTTTGTTCTCGGGTCACAACCCAACTTAATCCACATACCTCTCCACGGACCTGTAGGTGAAAAAGTTCGTTTAACATTGCATACTGGCATTAGTTTGAAAAATTTACAGAATTTCGAATTGTTTGCTCAAACATTAAAGTTTAAAATTGAGATAAAGCTACTAACTATACTAACCAGTGTTACAGTAGAATTAAGGTTTAAAGTTGAGATAAAGCTACTAACTATACTAACCAGTGTTACAGTAGAATTAAGGTTTAAAGTTGAGATAAAGCTACTAACTATACTAACCAGTGTTACAGTAGAATTAAGGTTTAAAGTTGAGATAAAGCTACTAACTATACTAACCAGTGTTACAGTAGAATTAAGGTTTAAAGTTGAGATAAAGCTACTAACTATACTAACCAGTGTTACAGTAGAATTAAGGTTTAAAGTTGAGATAAAGCTACTAACTATACTAACCAGTGTTACAGTAGAATTAAGGTTTAAAGTTGAGATAAAGCTACTAACTATACTAACCAGTGTTACAGTAGAATTAAGGTTTAAAATTGAGATAAAGCTATTAACTATACTAACCAGTGTTACAGTAGAATTAAGGTTTAAAGTTGAGATAAAGCTACTAACTATACTAACCAGTGTTACAGTAGAATTAAGGTTTAAAGTTGAGATAAAGCTACTAACTATACTAACCAGTGTTACAGTAGAATTAAGGTTTAAAATTGAGATAAAGCTATTAACTATACTAACCAGTGTTACAGTAGAATTAAGGTTTAAAGTTGAGATAAAGCTACTAACTATACTAACCAGTGTTACAGTAGAATTAAGGTTTAAAGTTGAGATAAAGCTACTAACTATACTAACCAGTGTTACAGTAGAATTAAGGTTTAAAGTTGAGATAAAGCTACTAACTATACTAACCAGTGTTACAGTAGAATTAAGGTTTAAAGTTGAGATAAAGCTACTAACTATACTAACCAGTGTTACAGTAGAATTAAGGTTTAAAATTGAGATAAAGCTATTAACTATACTAACCAGTGTTACAGTAGAATTAAGGTTTAAAGTTGAGATAAAGCTACTAACTATACTAACCAGTGTTACAGTAGAATTAAGGTTTAAAGTTGAGATAAAGCTACTAACTATACTAACCAGTGTTACAGTAGAATTAAGGTTTAAAATTGAGATAAAGCTATTAACTATACTAACCAGTGTTACAGTAGAATTAAGGTTTAAAGTTGAGATAAAGCTACTAACTATACTAACCAGTGTTACAGTAGAATTAAGGTTTAAAATTGAGATAAAGCTATTAACTATACTAACCAGTGTTACAGTAGAATTAAGGTTTAAAATTGAGATAAAGCTACTAACTATACTTACCAGTGTTACAGTAGAATTAAGGTTTAAAATTGAGATAAAGCTATTAACTATACTAACCAGTGTTACAGTAGAATGCGAAGTGGGGCAGGAGGGTAGTTCTTAAGGGCACTTCTCTAATCTCAATAATATTAGCAAACGATGACGTAGTCCAAATGGGTCTACTCCGGAACATTTCGTCTATTTTATCTCTAAACTCGTTTATGTAGTTTTGTTTGAATACGTTCAGTTCCAAATCCTGATAAAGGTAAAATTGCTACAAAGATTTGTTACAGATTTAAAAAAGATTTAATCTACAGCTATATTGATGATGATTTTTAACCTGATATTAATTTACATTATTGTGCACCGTGGTGCTCCCAGTGCTACAACAACAACAGTTGTTCTTGTTGCTGTTGTAGTTGTACAATGTACAATGTACATCCATGTATGTAATCAGGGTAATTTGAAGACATGATTTTTTAAATTTTAAAAGACTTACTCTACTCTTATAAGTGACTTAATCTAGAAAATGTGACATCATCTGAACCTGCCAAAGTCTAGATCCCGCAGAATTGAAAAGGGCACAAGAAACCGCAAGAAACGGTTACATCATGCTTTTCATGGTGTAACCGTTTCTGTACGGCTAGTTAAACAGGGAATTGAAACTGTGGGGCTCCGTGCAGACCAACCTACCTGTGGCTAAAGCTATAATATACAAAAACAATACATGGATAAACTTGTACCACTTACCCATGCTTTTAGTATTTCTACAATATGGTCTACGACTTTTACACAGCATAATACCCCATGATGTCGTTTATTTTTAATTCTCTTTGCTGTATTGTATATGTACTATTTGTAAAAGTTTCAAATCAAATCAAATCAAGAAGTAAGTTTGAACTTGGGAAAGTTCTTCTTGAAATATATATAATATAAGTGATTACTTTCAAAACAGATGACATGTCCGCGACCTGCAAATTTGTATATTTTATGCAAGCAAAAGTAAATGTAAATGACTATATCTAAATAAAAATCCCGCAGAATTTAAAAGCGGACCTGGTTGCATGACTGAAATTTAATTAAAGGAAGCCTGTACTTTAAATTTATCGAGCAAGTTTGGGAGCAGGAGTTAAAATTTGTAATTTAGCTTCGGTTTGATCAGCTGGTTTGATCAGCGAACTTATCACCGGCATGACCTGGGAGGTAAACGGCCACACCCATACTTAGAGTATCACCACCAATACCATTTAGCAATCATAAATTGGGATTCATTAATCATGTTCGGCTCGAAGGGAAAGAGTACTCAAGTGACCACAAGAACTAATACAATGTTCACATGATTGCCAATACATAAATTGTAAAGTCTAATTAACTTGTATGCATCAGCACGCACACGTACGATTAGACAAATATTCAAAATTCACAGGAGCATATTTCACGAATATCTAATACAGTTAAAATATCAGAGATAAAGGAAAAGTTTTAAGGGCTACAATTCCTGCTTGCATGTTCTGATTGAATCTGCTGGGAGAACATAATAATTTAATCACTTATACATAATTTCATTTCTAAACCGCATTAAAATAACTTTTCAAACCTGCATGGGAGTGGAGGGGACTTCACTGTCAGTGCACTTCCAGTGTATCACTATAGATGGTCGAGCAGCTCGCACCTTCGTCTCACCCGTTCCTTTTGATGCTGAAATAAAGCAAATAATAAAGCAAACCCTAAGTTTGAGGGTTTGTAGGGAAAAAATCAGCAAAAAACGTGAAAAAATAGTGTAAAAGGGTGATAAAAATATAAAGAAAAAATGCACAAACCTGTATCAGAATTCTGGTAAAAATAATCGAAAGGAGCGTCTCTAAGGGCGTGTGTTTGACAGTTGACTCGGATAGAGTGCTTATCTCGGGTGATATAGTGAAAGTCTATGAGTGGGGAGACAATGCCTCTGTAGTTAGGGGTTGGCAGGGCTGGTGGGTACTGGAGCTGGAAGTCTGCCAACTTGTTGAACACTATCTCCTTCCGGACTACCCCTACCACACGGACAGCTTTTGTAATTTTGTTCACTCTAAAAAGGAAGTGTTTTAAATGAGCGTTTCTGCAGAAAGCATGTATCCAAGTAATGTAAGTTAATCTAATTTTTGGGAGGAGAAAAATTTCAAAAAGAATGTTCATTGTCCAACTATATTACTGACAGTAACATAATAAACATTAAAATAGCTCACTTGAGGATGAGTTTGACAGCAGGCTGAACCTTTGTCTTAAGGGGGATACAGGAAGGGTTGGCCGGTCTGAGCTTCAGAGCAACATCTACAGTATCCTCTGTAATCTCAGAGGTGAGGAAAGTCAAAGCTTTCTCTGTGTTCACAACATTTCCAGGAAAAAGCAGGTCCAACCAAGTGCTGTTTTGTGGTACTGTTATTACTGGGGCACTCTGGGAAAAGGGAAATCAGGTGCTGTGGTACTGTTATTACTGGGGCACTCTGGGAAAAGGGAAATCAGGTGCTGTTTTGTGGTACTGTTATTACTGGGGCACTCTGGGAAAAGGGAAATCAGGTGCTGTTTTGTGGTACTGTTATTACTGGGGCACTCTGGGAAAAGGGAAATCAGGTGCTGTTTTGTGGTACTGTTATTACTGGGGCACTCTGGGAAAAGGGAAATCAGGTGCTGTTTTGTGGTACTGTTATTACTGGGGCACTCTGGGAAAAGGGAAATCAGGTGCTGTTTTGAGGTACTGTTATTACTGGGGCACTCTGGGAAAAGGGAAATCAGGTGCTGTTTTGTGGTACTGTTATTACTGGGGCACTCTGGGAAAAGGGAAATCAGGTGCTGTTTTGTGGTACTGTTATTACTGGGGCACTCTGGGAAAAGGGAAATCAGGTGCTGTTTTGTGGTACTGTTATTACTGGGGCGCTCTGGGAAAAGGGAAATCAGGTGCTGTTTTGTGGTACTGTTATTACTGGGGCACTCTGGGAAAAGGGAAATCAGGTGCTGTTTTGTGGTACTGTTATTACTGGGGCACTCTGGGAAAAGGGAAATCAGGTGCTGTTTTGTGGTACTGTTATTACTGGGGCACTCTGGGAAAAGGGAAATCAGGTGCTGTTTTGTGGTACTGTTATTACTGGGGCACTCTGGGAAAAGGGAAATCAGGTGCTGTTTTGTGGTACTGTTATTACTGGGGCACTCTGGGAAAAGGGAAATCAGGTGCTGTTTTGTGGTACTGTTATTACTGGGGCACTCTGGAAAAAGGGATGTTTTTAAACTGTTAGCACCATTTTTATTATGTTCTATTTTAAGGTTGGTATTTATTTAGGGTTGTGCTAGATCTCACATTTAATTACAGTGCACAGATGTTTCGGGAGTTTTAAATCTTGGAATGGGGTTTGTCAGATGCACAATTCCAGTATAATTTAAATAAGGAAACTGCAGTGCCGGAATTTTCATAATATCAAACAAAATAAACTTTCTGCAACACTATAATGGTTTCTTTGAAGGGCTACCATCCAACAATAACAATTAATTACAAAGATACTGTCTAGCACAGGAACACTAAACCTTGCCTGATATTGGTAGTGTCACAATCTTCCTCTTACTTTTTCGCTCTGATCTAGGGCTAAGTGGAGCATCTTTCTCCTCTAAATCAGATACCATAACCATATCTTCAAATGATTCTTCCTTAATCAAGGAGTTACTGTCATCCAAATCCATAGCAATTGGATCATCATCTGCCATGACAGTATTTGCAGCTGTTCTATAAAAGATTTATAGCCAATTTAATCAAGTTATCATCAAAATATGGGACTATGGACTTACGTTAATTAAGATGAAATCAATAGTGTAGTTTAATTGATAATTTCATATCATTAATTTTAGAAGTAAGAATTAGTAACTAATTATGTGGGGATAAAATCAAATATAGCATATTATAATAAAGTATAGAGATTAAGTTAAAATTAATATTATAGGTACCGTCAACAAACATCATTTTTCAAAACAGGAAAATATTTAATCTCACAAATCACTACTGCTAATCTCAGAAATCTTTGGATTAGTATTTATCACAGTGTCTTTCAAGCTCAAAGGGGCATATTCCTTAGAAAAACTATTCATATCAGAAGGGAAGAGTCCCCTGCCAATAACAGTGTCCATGATGTCCAGAGCATACACTGCTAGCTCAGTGGTGTCAGCAGAGATAGACTCAGTCAGCAACTCCTCAGCCCACAGCCTGATATCCATTAGTTGGGGGTATATTTCAGCTGTCATTACCGCTACTGGTGATATCTGAGCTACTATGCTGGTTGAAAACAAGATAGCCTGTTTAACATACTCGTCCAGAACATAGATGTCAGTAAAGACTCTGACAAAGTCGAGAAGAGTTTTACCCATGTTGGGGGCAGCAGGAGCGTTGCTTGCACAGTGTAGTACAACACCCAGAGTGTAGATAAGACGACCCAGAACTAATGTGTCCTCTTCTGTAAGACTTAGAGTTCTCAGTTCTTTGTCGTACTGATTCATAAGGGCATAGAAGAAATTTCCGCACACAGAGTTGAATTTATTTTCCTTTCCGATGGGAATTTTAGTGGCAGAGTTGAATCTTTTAGTTTTCTTTTTCAGTCTTTCCAAAACTTCGATTTCCCAAGGCTTCATGTTCAGTTTCTTCAACTTCTCAATTTCATCCTCTTGAGGAATGACCTCAATCCTGCTCAGTACCCTGGATGCCTCAACGATGACATTTAAAATGTCCAGCCTGTGTCCAATAGTATAGTTGTCTTCATAGAATTGATAGGACAAGTAGTCTGCAACCGTACGAGGAGCAGCTACAGTGCAATTAATCAGGATCTTCTTTCGCAACTCATTAAAGTCTTCCATGTAAAACTCACTCGACATGGAGAGAATAATCTGGGTTATTTCCAAGGCTAATTCATCTGCATTTCCTTTTGCTTCATCTAAAAGCTTGGGTAATGTCCTCAAAGTCACTGCAATCTTATCGATGTCCTTGTCTGACTCCCGAGTCTCTGTCAAGATCTCAATACACTCTTTCAAGTAAACTGGAGGTTTAACAGAAGCCAAGTTTTTGTCTGATGAAGAGAACGGTTTCAAGTCTTCATCGTCATCATCACTGTCCAGGTCAGCGAATTTATCTGGGACTTTGTTGTCGGACTCAACAATGAGTTGCACAGGGGGTTCCTTCACTACGAAGTCCTGCTCGGTGTATCCTTCTAAGAGAGATTTCAATTTCCGTGTATCGTCAGTTTCATCATAATCAAACTTAAGTGGAGCCTCTGTGTTGATCCCAAGGAACTGAGTTAATATCTCAGCTGTAACCATTCCAGCTCTTCTGAAATCAGAATGATTGGAATCTAGATGTACTGGCATGCCAGCAGCCAGTAACAACATAATCTTTTCTTTTATAGCGACCCTCTCATCATTGTCCATGTAGTAAAAGCATATTATAATTGACTCACAAATTGCTAAGTGATGCTCATAAGGTTGAAGATCAACAGAGCTTTTGTTTCCCCAAACAGTCAGCAACTCAAAGAGAGTTTTTGTGAGCAAGTACCGTCGTTCTTCTCTTGTAGTTAATGGATAAAACAGGAGATACTTAGGACGGACATCTTTAAAATATTTGATAAAAATAAGTCTGTGATAAATAAGAGTACAAAGTTTTCCAATGAGAACAATCTTTGGACCAAAGACAATATCAATGAACTGTTTCAGATCATGAAACGGTATATAATCACATGTAAAGAAAGGTAATGTCACAGCTTCAAGATGTTGAGAGGACACAAATGTCAGAACTTCACTGACTTGCTCTCCGTTTTCATGTCCTCTGTTCACAAACTCTAACAAGCACTGCACAACCACATTCTTATCTCCAAGAATTGCTAATTTGCCAACAAGTTTCCCCACGAAGTCATACTTGACAGAAGACTGATGCTGTAATCGCTCCAGTGCTCCAAGGATATTTTGCATCAAAACTACAATATAATTGCTCTTCTCAAACATGTCATGGGTGTTCAATAAGTTCATTTTATTGTCAATACATTCAGGAATATTGCAGAGATGAGTAGCCAATGACTCTATTTCAACATTAGATCTGGCAAGGGACTTTTCAACAATTAGTTGTTGCAATCTTCCAACACTAACAAATTGTTTTAGAACATCATAACATGCCTGTATGACTTTCAAATGTTTACCTTGTTTTAGAGATGATAATATTGTTAGAAAACAATCCAATACTGGGCCATATATAAAATTAGAGTAATAAAGTTTCTTTTTCTCATTCTCACTTATCTGTGAAAGCCATTTTATAGCAACATCCTCCAAAAGAATCCTCAGATATCGGGAGAACTTTATAACAAAACTTGACTGCTGATCTGTAGAGGGCACATTAAATATCAGTTCTTGCTGAATTCCAGTGGACTGACAAATAGTAAGTTTTTCTGCATCAGTAAGATTAGAAGTACTTGAAGAAACGACAAAGAATAGTGATTGAAGCTCTTCAAGGCATTGCTTTAGTTCTTCAACTGAGCTACAATGCTTCAAACTGAGCTCAAGTTCGCCCCAATCTCTACATGACATTTTCTGAAAAATTAATTACGTATCATAAAATTCATCACATATTCATCATCAAAATTGGTATTGAAATTGATGATTTAATTCGATTAGATTTGATTTATTGCGCAAGAGAAAAAAAAATGAATCACATATCACTTGAATATTTCCTTAAAAATTCACATCAGGACTCAGGAACTTAACATTTTAAACAAATTACAGCGTAAATAAAATGTTCAAATAGTTCATGATATCCTATGAGCTCAAGGTAAGCAATGTATTGACAGCCCCTTGATAATTGTCAGCCTTTCCATTGGGGGGGGGGGGGGGGGAAATTTTGTTTTACTTAATGCACAGACCTAGCACAAAATTGTAAAATGACAGATATATATTCTAAATGCTGCCATTTTGAATGACCTAAAAACTGAACCCATACCAAAATTTAACGGAGTACACAGTACTGGTGAAATTGCAAATATAAATATCTTAAAATCATTACCCAAGCATATTCTATGAATTGTAGTGTTAATTTTGTGTACTCTATGAATGAAACGGCTATCGAATACACAGACATTGAAAAAGATCTTGGAGTACATATCAATAGTAAGTTAGAATGGTCACATCACTGTGATATGATATACTCTAAGGCTAGTCAGAGGTTAGGCCTTCTAAAAAGAATATGTTACTTCACCAAGAACACTAAAAAACCTTGGGCCTTCTATCTATCTCAGGTTAGAAGTCATTTCGAACACTGCACAATGGTCTGGTGTCCTCATTCAGATACAAAAAAGAGGTATCAAGTGGATCTTTAATGATATTTACTTGAGCCTTGGGGACAAAAAAAGGTATTTCATAGAGTGTAAGGAACTAAATATCCTTCCACTCTCGGTAAGGTTTGATTACAAGGATATATTATATTTTCATAATATTTTTTATGACATATCAGTTGTGACATTTCCACCTTACTTACGACGTTTCATGGGAAGTAGGTTAAGGCGATCACATCTAGACGATCTCGGTATGATTAGTGACATTTCTCCTCAAGTTCCACAAAACCTTACGTCAAGCCAGACCAGATGTTCATGCAAAAACGGTTGCTGACACAGCATTTGGACTTATACCTAGTATGACCTCTTATATATACAATAAATTAAATCAAGTGATGCAATTGGCAGAGCACAATCGTAAATCCTGAGCAATAGATATCATCTATCCCTCGTAGCTCTTCTCCTCAGGTATCAGGTTGAAGGAGACGTTGAATATAGGGGCGGTCCATGCCTTCTTTGCCTTTCCACGTACACCTCTAACTGCTACTAGCACACTCCTCATTATATCCATGCTCAGGCGTGTCCTGATGTTACACATCACCTGGCTGTAGTCCTCCTTTGTCTTGGTGGCTATCAACACAGCAAGTCTCCTTATGAAACGCTTGGCCTCCGGTGCCATTCCTCCTGTAGTGGTAAATACAAGGGGGACGAATGACCCTTTCTCCAATTGTAGCACTCGGTTCATGTACTGGTTCTTTTTCTCATTCTCGTGCAGAGTGTAGAGCTGTGGCATGGTCTTTCCTTGATATGTAGGCGATTTAGGATTGAAAATGCGCACATCAAAGAAAGTCCTCTCAAATGTGCTCCACACTCCTCTTGCTGATATATCAAGCCTAGCCTTATCAGCATTGTTGCCCTTTTGTTGGAAGTTGGCCGATTCTATAGGTGTTAAAAGGGGCTCAATCCTCACATCCTTGGTCACCAGCCTAAGGTATTCAGCAACGGAGTCTCTCACGTTGTTATGACGGTAGTTCACATACCCCCCTCTCTTACAGTTGAGGATATGATTGTGATCATTCTTGGCTCCACAATCGCAGAATCTTGGGGTGTTAGGGATGTCCCAACCATACCGGAGATGAACAGCATCTCTGAAGTCTTGCTTGCTGTAAGCATACCCTAGCTGTTGAATGGGAAGACATGTTAGCCAAGCTCCTGACCCATGCTCTTGTACCAGCTGCAATGACTCCCTGGTATTCTCATCCACTTCACTCATTATCTCAGCAAGCTCCTTCTTCAAGCATAATTCTTTAACTAACTTGAGGCAATCTACTCTGCCCTTTATCTTAAATTTATCCAACTTCATCAGGGATGTCTCCTGGTGATAGATAAGGTCAACCAGCTCCTCTGTTATCTTGAGTGACGTCTGGTATTCCTTCTCCGCGATCTCTACTGGATTAACAATACCAAGCCCCCCTAATCTTACAGGTAGCGCAAACATTCTCCTGTGCAGATCAGACACATTCCTACCAATAATTGCAGGGATGAACTTTTCTCTTATACACTTCTCCAATGGGATGAAGAGGTCTTTAGTGTCTTGGATGGTACGCATCACAAAGGTCCACCGATGACATAGGGCTTTGGTATACCCTGATAGGGCTGCCTGAGGTTCATCGAGGGCAATATCTGACAACTCTTCTACATCCTTCACCCATTTCTCTACTTTCTTTTTTACATATGTCTCTCTAGCCTCCTCTCCACCTATCACTGCTCCCAGATGACGCTCCCCATCACATGTGATCTCTATACCAGTCTCTCCAAATAAAAACGTGGCTGCTGGTAGTAGCGATTTTTCTTTTAGGATAAGAATAGTCTTCACTGCTTTAGGGAAGTAGCCTAACTTAGGACCGTTCACACTGAGTAAATCCCACCACAGCCGGAGTTTCTTCAGGGTACCTGCTGCTGCAGAGTCATCTGCATACCACGCTTGCATCAATTCTCCTAATTTTTTCACGCTGGCCAGGATGTTGATAAGAGGACGAATACCGATAGCATACTCTGCCATTGCTGCCACATCCCCTTGCGTTGCCCCTTCATCAGAGTAAATTATCTCACACGAATATGTGTCGTTGACAATGAGTTTGGCTGATTTCTGATAGGTGTTTTTCAGGTATTGGTGAAACGGAGGACATAGCTGCCTGATGTTGTGAATAGCTGCTTTGCGATTAAGCCTGTTAAACGCATTATCAGCATCAACAAGAAGCACTGCCTCTGTCTTAGGATCTTCCCATGTCCTCTTAACTGCTCTGATGGATGCCTCAATGCCTGACTCTAGCCCAGCACATGACTGAAGAGGTCCTGCAGCCTCTTGTATATCATCCTTAATTACCCCAATAACCACCTTGCCAACAATACGCCGAAGAACCTCTCCTACCCCCACCGGCCGTACACCAGGATTACCTCTCTTATCGTCACCCTTATTCAGTGGTACCAGTCTACAGGCCACAAACTCATTCAGACTCTCTGGGTTAACATCCTCTACACACAAACGCTTTGCAAATTCAGCTATTGCACCGCAGAGTTGAAAAGGAAGTTTCCCATACGCTTTAGAGCACAAGATGTGCTTCCACCCATCTGCATCCAAATGGGTTGGGCCACCTGAGCCCTTAACATGAAGTGCCGCTTTCTCAACTAGCTCTGCCGATATTTCAGCAAATACCACCGACTGTGCCTGAGGCGCTGTTATAGGTAGAAGGATATCAGCTGGAGGTGTCTCAGCTTTAGGATGTTTCTCTTGTAATAGACTCTTTATCTTTCTATTTAATGTGTGTACCCCAACAACTGAGTCTTCGTTGTTGATGAGCTTCATGGCCTGACATACTTTACCCACCATCATTAACCTACTAAAGCCTTTCATTTTCGATGGATCTTCAGACTTTTTCCTTCGTTTTAGCTTCTCCTGGATGACACGAGCTTCATCCATGAGGGAATTGAGGTCGCCATCCTTCCACTTTTCTAGTCTATCTACCAGGTACTTGGCATTGTCTCTAGCTTTTGACTTAGATGAAGGCTTCTGTAACATAATAGGGATAAATATATGGACTAGCTGCAATGAAAGACTCTCCCAAGCCGTTTTATTCACAAAAAGGTACAAAAGTCGTGTCAACTCTTTGATAAACTTCTCCCCACTCTTACCCCTTGGCACCATAAACAAATTCCTACACCACGTAATAATTTCATCATATATCCCCGTAAGTTCTGACCGTATACACCCTTCCCCAACCATGGTACCCCACGTCAAATTATTTGATCTATTCAACTGGCAGCAGTCACAATACCATTCATCATCTTCACTGGTTTTATGATCCTCATACTCTTCATCACTCATACACAAGCAGGCCTTATGAATCCAAACCTTGCACTCCTCACACTGCAAAGCATCTACATGCCATTCAACTCTGGTTTTACATATAGGACATATGTCATCTATCTTCTCCTTCTCATTTGGTCTACATTTTTTCTTCTTATCGACTCTTGTTTTATGATTGATGTTTACTTCTAGGACTTGAGGTCTATTTAACAAGGGTTTCTCTGTTCTGATGTGGCGCCGAAAGTCATATCTCGAAGAAGATGATGGAGGTTTGATAGAATTGGTTGAGTTTAATACTTTCTGATTATTAGGATTTGGGGAGGCCATATTGGGCGACATAGGTTCATTGGACATAGGTTCGTTAGTACTTTCTTCTTCAGCTTGTTCATTGGTCTCTACATGTTCTGTACTGGCTGGGGCACTCAATAAATGTAATAGATTTGTAGTGTTGTAATTAGTTTAAAAATGTGTTCATGCACATCGAAGTCTTACTTTTACAGAGCACACATTCTGTGGAATAAACTCCCTTATGAATTAAGGGAAATCTCAAGCATACAAGGTAAATTACTTCGTTGTATATTACATTTTGACCAGACGTGGTTTATAGTCGTAAATAATTCAGCCGGGATTTCCATGTCGCCTAGCAGGATGATGGGCATAATTACTTAGTGCTTCTTTGTGCTCACAATTGAATAATAATTATTTGCAAGACGAATGAATACTAAGCAGCAGTCAGGTTAGGAGATAGAGGTATAAATGCTGAAAACTTCCTTCCCTGACCTAACCTCTAAGAATGATTGAATCCAGTATAGTATGACTCGTGAGATCAAGCTATTACATCTTGTAACACATTAGAACCTTGTCATACGTTGTATGACCCGCCGCGCACGAAGTGCGCGGCTCCCCCGTATCGTCACCTAGTGAAACGACCGTGGGTGTCACAACGTGATACAATTAGAACCACCATTTTATAAATCTAGATTTTTGGAAAAATATTACATATTAGTGTCGTGTTACACCTTTCGCTCATTCTATTAGTTGAATAAATGACAGAGGTGGGATTACCAATGATCATGTTCTATTTTCATAATCCTGGAGTCAATCATTCACGATTTCATGAACTGCATGCAAATTATTCCATAATCAGGAATATTTATCAGTCGAAAAAATGAAACAACTCTACTAACGTAAAATGCCTTAATACTAAATGCAATTTCAAGCTTAGCTTGTAGTTCAATTTTTGACATCGCCATTGATTCATGATGAATGTTGATGTGTCAATTAAACATTGAACATTTAATTGACGATATTAACCCAATTTTTGCTTCTGAATCATAAATGCGCGCGGTGCGAGAAGCGACGACGTCTTCCAATTGGACACAAATTGTGATTGTGTTTATGTTTTAATACCATGGTATTCTGTATGATATTAATTTTTCGTTAAATTAAACGAAATAATACACAAATCAGCCGTTTTTTGAAAAATTAAAACATTCCAGCGCGATGCACTGTTGGGCCTTGTAGCGCGATGCACTACTGGGCCGCGCCACGCATCTTCTGGCAACCAGATCGGCGAGATGCGAAGGATTGACAATGTGAATCAATGTTGGGCCGCGCATCAAAAATGTTTATTGCGTTGCAACTTCATTGACAATATCAATTAGTTGTTTGTAGGTTTATAACCTATATTGTCTATTGTTAATGGACTGACTCGGCGCGCGCTACTCCGTATCACGTACTTGCCTTGGGCCAACATTTCAAGAAGAAAGCGGCGCGCGCTACTTTTAAGAAATTTAGACTAGTAACATCCGTCAATAACCTACCAAGACGCGCGCTCACAGGGGGGGGGGGGGGCTAAAACCAGGTTTGGTTTTCGATCGTCGCCAAAAGCGATTAACTTCGTAACACAGAATTGCTTTCGTCCAATGAAATTGCTGCATTATGTAAGTGGTAAGCCAAGCTTTGTAGCGCGATGCGTTACTGTGCCGCGCCGCGCACTTAATAAGGCTTCTCACAGATCGGCGAGATGCACTACTGTGCCGCGCCGAGCTGAATTAACATCGTCAATTGAAGCCAAGCTCTGCATACGAACATATGTAATTTAATTAGGGCATAATGACGATTTGCAATTTACGATGTCAATCCTTTGCAGCTCGACGTGGCACATGGTCATGCATCTCGTTTGACCATTGTTAATGATCTGGCCCGGCACGTGCTACTTCGTAGCACTTGCCATCGAGAAGAAAGCGGCGCGCGCTACTTCGAAGATATTTAGAAGAGTAACATCCGTCAATGTCAAGCATTTCGTCGATCTCAGATCTACCGAGAGAAGCATTATATTTATTGGATTCGCGGCGTGGCCTATTATAGTACTAGTAATGTGCATCCGGCATCACACTACTTAACTACTATACAATGTATAAACAACATTAGACAAAAATGAAAAAGAAGACATGTTTTGATTCGGAGGACGTCGTCGCTTCGCGCATTGAATTACAAATTACACGTTGTATATCTCGTTTAGACTGTGATAAGAGGTATACACTATACAACGTGTATCAGTTCGCAGACAATGGACAAGATTGCAGCAGAGCTACGTAAAGAGCTGGAATGGCTTGGCATCGTCAATCAAGTTTGAAGTTGAGCTTAGAAAATTGAAGATCTGTGATCTGGCCAGTTTATTACCACTTGGACAGCTCCATAAGTATAACATGAGCCTCTCGCTTTACCATATCTTCGGTTGGTTTATGTTTTATTAACACAAAACACACAAGTATTGCATATTGGTAAGTTAAATGTTTAGGATTCAAAAAGTTTTATCCCGAAAACACGAATATTTGTCATTTCTATTCGTTTTACGGTATTGCCATTGGAAATTTTAAGATATTGGAGGAGACAATTTGAGACCAAAAATAGAAACGGTTTTTGTCGAAACAAAATTCAAATTTAAAATACATGGCATAGTAATAAGAACATCAGCAGAAGTTGGTATATTCTATTGCATATACAATGTATTTAATGCTTCGGTAAAAATCTTGTACGTAATACCAAACAGGCCCACGTATGAATTGTGAATATCAGGCTGGTTGTGGATGAAAAGCATCGTCTGTAAATCAATAGAAAGGTATATAAAATTTGAAGTTGATCTTATGCAATTTCATACCAAAAGATGTACTTTGTACTTGGAATTTTCAATATTTCCATTTTGTAAGTTCAAAGTTCAGCATAATGTATATTCAATATTAAGTAAAATCAAATAATTTGCTTCAGTGTTCAGTTCAAAATACCCAAAATTCATCACCTAAGAGCGAATACCATCGCTACAACGCATCAAAATCCGCATGCGTTCAGACCATAATTTTTCGCTCCAGTGCAGTAAACAGTAAAATATAATATGGAATTGAAAGCTTTTACCAAGAAAATGTTTATAGTTCTTTCCAAACTAAACGGCTTTTTAGCTAGCAATCGTATCATCTCCCCATTAAATATTTACTATGTGCTATGGTCAAATGAAAAATCCTCTGTTCACAATATTATGTTCACTCAAAATGTAATCAAAATCACGAAGCGACAAACACAACTAGAAAGAAGTATATTACTCAATTATTTCTGACATAAATCGCAATTCTAGGCAGAACTTTCTATCCAAAAATCATCGGATAAATCGGTGTATGAGTGCGACTTCAACTTATCTTCCATCACTAAAAACTTATGAATAAATACTGTTACCTCGACCACTTTAAAATAAAATATCAAAACAACTGTTAGCCGCACTGATATTACCTCCGTTGTCGTTTCTCTTTTTTCTTTTTGTCCTTATTACTTGCTCTACCCGGGCTGGCACTTCGTTTTCTCTGACGTCGTTTCTCTTTCTCCTTCTTTTCTCTTCTCTCTTCCCGCTCTAACTCTGCCTTAAGTAACTCTAACTTCCGAATATCTTCCTCAAGATCGCTATCATGAACTTTATCTTTCTTCTTCTTCTTCTTGTTTTTCTTTTTCTTATCTTTCTTCGCTTTGCTGCTATGAGATAGTGATCTACTCCGACTCCCCTTCTCGGAACCTAAACTTTCTAATCGAACAAGTCCGGGTTTCTCCTGCTCGGACTCTAACTCTCCTTCCTCCTTGCTCTCCTCAATAGATGTGGCTGCAGCAGTTGGTGACGCCAGTTTCTCCTCCAACAGACTATCTATAGGAGAGCCGGAGGGTGACCTTATTTCTGCCAACTTGGCTTCAATTTCCTTTTGAGACTCCCCGTCTTCCTGAGACGTCTCCATTCTCTCCGGCGTTTTTATTGTTTTGTTCTCCTCACCAGGTTCACTCTCCAAAGTCTTGTCCAGCTCCGGAGTTGCAGCCCTGTTAACCTCAGGCGTCGCAGCCTTGTTTAGCACGGATGTTGCAGCCTTGGTAACAACTTCCTCAGCATCCTGACTAGCCCATTCTAACAAGTCGTCGTCAACTTCAGCGTGTTTCGGAGTTTTCACTGGAGTAGGCGGCAGATTCTCCTCCTCATGAGCAGGACTCTCCTCCTTTGTTGGCTCTATAGGGTCGTCGTCCTTCTTTCTCTTCAGATAGGTCTGGAGATTAATAGCCTTCTTCTCCAACTTCATAGGTGACTCCGCTAGAGTAGCTTCAGATTGAGAGCTCTCCTCAGGTTCCTCAACTGCACGACTGTAAGGGAGGGGTTCCTCAGCAACAGGACTAGTTACCTGCGGCGTCTCCTGGGGTATGTCTTTAGGGATGGATAGTGTAACTGGCGGTGACATGCCTGGGTAATAGTAATCCTCACCCTCCTCATTGTTCTCCGGCATAGGTAGCGCATAGTCCTTGGAGTTGAGAAGGTGGACTATACTGTCGTCGTCCCGTTTTACGCTAAGACTTTCCTGACTGACTGATCGCGGTATTGCTATGTCGTTAAGTTTGTCGAGTTTAGCGCTGACTTGCTCCTCTTGTTTCGTGATGTAGGCGTTCTCTTGCCCGTTACTCAAAAACTGCCCCAAGGGCGTATCTTTTGATGGGTTGTCACGAGTAGTCTCCTTCATCGATACCAGCAGCTTCTCCAGGATTGTCCCCGCACCTTCTGATTCTGAAATTTATGGTCAAGAATTTTTTTGTCTAGCGTACAATACATTTTGGTCTGCGTATTTCCATCTAGTTTTTTTGTGTGATATTTATCGAAAAATATGGAAAACAACAAAAAGTCCTGATTCAATATCATAAGTTAAACTGATTTGAATAATTGTAACAATAACATGTAGCAATATATCACATTTGCATAGAAATAATAATAATAACAGATCGTTACAAAATTATTCTCAAAACTATGAAATAGTTCACACGAAAGTCAATAAACACCCCTTAAGGCTATACTTAGAAATTTCAGCATTTTCAAGACCAGACTTACATATGTATAGCTTATTCAACTCTCAAACCATGATATCTTTATATATAAGATGATCAAAATATGCCACAAAAAGGATCAAAGACGAATTCGTAAAGAAATTCGTTGGGCTGGATCTAATCAAACACTGTCATTGCATATAAATCTCAACAGAGCATATACTATGCTAATAATAGCTAGTGTCCGAAAGGAGGCCTATTGTTTCCGCGGGGTCTAAATGTCATTCTAAAAGGACCTCTCTGTCCCATGGGGCGGGGACCAGGTGGACCGTTGAAACGAGGACGTGCCGGACCATTACCTCTAGGAGCAGGACCTCGCATACCGCCAAATTGTGGGGGCGGAGGACGTCCGAATTGTGCGCGCGGGGCCCCTCCCCGATAGGTCCCGGGACGTGGCCCCGAGTTGGCATGGTCAGAGCTAAAGCGTGGTCCTGAGTTGGCATGGTCAGAGCTAAAAGCCATGTTCTCAAAGCGTGCCATGTTCTCTAGTGCTGCAAAATTCGGACGATGCTGTACAGGGCCCCTCATTTCTTCTAGGGAAGGGCGGATTGAAGAACTGTTTCTGTCAGAATCGGGACCAGGGAAATTTTGTGGGTCTCCAGGAGGCCGAGGACGGACAGGTCTTTCACCGTTTTCTTCATCCAAAAATAAAGGTTTTGGATCGCTTAGAGAATACTGATTTTGGTTGTTGAACCTCGGAATCCCAGGAGAAGATGGTTGGGCATGTCGAGGTGGAACTGATCGCATAGAGTTGACATATCTAGGCTCTCCAGATCTTGGGTCGATTGGAGAGTACTGGTTTTGATTATTAAACATGGGGATCCCTGGAGAGGATGGTTGGGTATGTTGTGGCGAAGCTGATCGCATAGAGTTGACAAATGTCGGCTCTCCAGGACTTGGATCACTAGGAGAGTACTGGTTTTGATTATTAAACCTTGGAATCCCCGGAGAAGATGGTTGAGGACGTCGTGGAGAAGTTGCCCGCATCTGATTGACAAATGTGGGCTCTCCAGGCCTTGCTTTAGAAGGTGAAGGAACAGTTCTGGAGATCGGCACACTGCTATTAAAAGGAGGTAGACTCCCCGCATGAATTCGAGCGTTACTGGCAGACTCCATCGACGAAGGGCTGGAGCTGATCCCTCCAGTCAGATAAATGTTATTCTTAGGAGAGCTGGATTTACGGAATGGAGGTAGACCTCCAGGGTACATTTCATTCCTCTTACTCCTGTTCGGTTCAGAGTCCGACTCGTTATCGGAGTCCATCATGTTTCGAGCTAATGTTCTAGGACTAGGAGGAGAGGGAGATCTCCTGAACCTGAACAGCGGAGTAGGTTCGGAAACAGGGACCGGCTGTGCAGGTCCTAAAGTAGGTGCACCGAACCTGGGACCTGGCAGAGGCATCGGACCGGGCAGGACAGGCATCTGTGGAGAAGGCAAAGGAATCTGGTTCAAGTTGGGCATGTTAGAAGGAGGGAGCATATTGGCCATGTTCGGAAGAGGAATATGGTGAGGAGGAGGAGGTAAAGAGAAGGGAGGAGCCATGCCTTGGAACTGTCCAGGAGGAGCAGGACGTGGCGGCATCCAGCCAGGTACTCCGTGGGGAGCAAGTGGTGTCATGCCAGGCATTGGGAAAGGAACAGACCCGTCAGGAGCTGAATCTGGAACGGTGGGAACAGGCAAAATGGGGATGGGCGGGAAAACATCCATCATCTCCTCGTCTGAGTTACTCTCGATCTCGGTTGGAATTTTGATGTTGGGATTCATAGAGAAAACGGCCATGCTAGGTGGTATACTGAGGGACATCAGCGGAGCATGTTGTTTTCTTTTAGCTTGGCGTTCTTCTTCCTCCTTCGCATCTGATGGATAGAGATTTAGATTGGAGGTGTACTTTGAGAGTTGGGGAAATAATTTGTAGTCGAGACTCGACTTAAGTTGACTGGATGACATTTGTCAATCTTTAATTATAGGAATTCACTTTCAGATCACCGTCAAGCAGTGGATAAAATGACAACAATCATTTCAAAATTTTACCGTCTTCAATTTCCACAAAGAATCGTAAAAATCAGTTATTTTTAACTGTTATCAAATGTTGTGTTGATAATATTGCATGTGCATTGTGCGTTAATCAAAAATTTCTTTTGAACACGAATTATAATATTTTAATGTCACAACGGGCCTTATCATTGGGATCATATTTTCATAGTACCAGCACAATCGATAAATTGAAAATATATTTTGCACTGTCGTTGCGACCTATATAATGTAATCTAAAGACTTTCTGAATCCATGGTACGTACCTTAATTATTATCCTAATTTTCGCAATAATGCATAAAATAATTACTCGTCCATCAGTCTTATCAGTCAAGTTATGATTTCATTGTCACAATTTCAGTTATTTACAAGTACAAGCTATATTTGCAAGACTGCCCTTTCATCTCGTGGATAAAATAATAGCAAACAAATTAATATATTTTATTCGGAATAAATCTGTCGCAAACATTATATGTTTTGCTGATTACAATGCAATACAAAACAGTACAGTACATGTCGTACAATACAATACAATACAAAATTGTGTAATGAATTGTAAATTGCAATACATAGGAATAATTTTAAAAACTCGAGGAATTGGCAGCTTCCGGACAAGTAGTCGATACTTGGATCAGCTTCAGTATTGATATTGTTTCTCTATACGATTCTCTGCAACATAGCTTGGTGATGTCAGCCTTAGATGATGCTATGGAGTCGTGTAGACCAGATTGGTCTGAGGAGTTCAGGACTTGGCTGAAGGGACTGATACAGCTTAGTTTTGATTCGGCAGTCTTGAAGAATGCAGACAACTGGTATGAGGTCGTTAACGGTGTACCCACTGGAGGTATCAATTCAGTGGATTGCGGTAACATTGCTTTGTTCTTTGTCCTAAAGAGTCTGGTTTACGACCCGGTTGTTAGACCAGAGGAGCTCAAGAACCTTGATCGGTTTGTGGATGATATTTCGGGCCAAGGTATGTGGAGAGGTTCTATGATTGGTTTTGAAGAATGGGTAGGGTCATTACGCAGTAAGATGGTTGATAACTATGGCTTAGATATTACATACGAAGTGAAACCAATCACGGAGTTCACTCAGTTCCTGGACATTCAGTACAAGTTTGTTGGAGGGAGACTCACAACAGATCTGTTTAGGAAACCTACTGACGCCAACAGGTATCTAGAATTCTCAAGTTTCCATCCACGACATACCTTCCGGAGTATAGTCTTCTCACAGGCACTTCGATACAGAAGGATAATCAATGATGACGTCTTGCTGGATGAGAGATTGGCAGAGCTTCAGTTGTTTTTTGAACGGTCTTCATATCCTACTGATATGGTGAGAGAGGTCATCAGTGATGTCAGATCGATACCAAGAACTTTACAGTACAAGGCAAAGGATCAGGGTCCCCCTTCTTTCACACCATGGATTGTTACATTCGGTGCGGGCTATGAGGAAACCAAGGAAAAGGCTAAAGAGGCCAGTAACATCATCTCAAATAGCCGTACATGGAGCAGTGAGAACCCTGAGAGGATCCCTAAACTCCAAGTGGTGACCAGGCGAGCCCCTAACTTAAAGGACACTTTATTCAAGAGAAAGAAGCTTGCCTTAGGTTCAGAGTCAAGAACAACTGACCCATGCACCAAACCTGGTGAGAAGAAGAAAGGCAGACCCTGCCAAACTTGTCACCTTGTTAGTGGCAATTCCATGGTCTCCAATAATGGACACTCAGTCAGAACTCAAGGTGGTAACTGTAAGACACGCAACATTGTGTACGGCGCGACATGCAAACTTTGTACTGTTAATAACGTATACGTGGGAAAAACAGTCACCAGCCTCAGCCAACGTGTGAATGGTCATCGCAGTAAATATTATGAGATTTTAGAGGCGAGTAGTAAGGGGAATGTTGAGAGCCACAGAGATTTTGATGACGAGAATGTTTTAGGGGCACATCTTTTTTCAGTTCATAATTTGAGGGAGAGATCTGTTTTCAATGAAAGTTTCCATTTTGATATTTTGTGTTCTACATCCCCAGATAATATTAGAAAGTCAGAACAGTTTTATATTAACAAATTGAAGACACTTTATCCGTTTGGCCTGAACAATGTGAATTCCGTTTCTGGAAGTTAATTTTTCATGGTGTCCCGAATTTTATTTTTAAATCGTCCATTTTTTGTTTATATATGCAGTCTATCAATTTTTGAATTGCGTCTTTTTGATTTAATGAACTACTGCAGACTCCACATTATTATAGTATATGCGATTAATTTTGTTCCGATTTTAAACTATTCCATTTTTACGAGATGATAAATTAATTTTTTGAGACTTTACTACATTTTTGATGAGAATTTTTGACATTTTCAAACTAACCATTGATATTCTCAGATTATGTGACTGATTAAATGCTGAAGATAAAAGAAATATATTCATTTTGCTAAGATTATGTTTGCGTTTCATTGCTCAACAGCTGTTCGAAGGATCAAATATAAGAAAAGCAATACATAGGTATCTATAATTCTATAAAATCATAATCTTGTTGATAAAAAGTGGTTGATACAAATTTGTTAAACTTTATTGTGCTGAGATTTTGATTTAATTTTGAGATGGAAATACGCAGATTTGAAATGTTTAAATTTCTTGATAGTATAGTCCTAGTTAAATTAATCGAGGTCAATAAATACGACACATCATAACATTACTGTCAACCATAGCCATCTTCAATGTTTAAATATAACCATCGTCTGAATGCATTTTGAGAAGTCCAAGATCAATCGATTAACCAAAATATAATATCTTTCGATATATGGTCGGTTTTAAAATATACACGAGGCGTTCTTAAGAACAGACATTTGTAAACAGAAGGCTATGGTTGACTACACAAATAGGTAACATTTTTGAGCGTGAGGTTTCCTTCAAGATAATTACATAACAAGTTTCCCAGTGACAAAAAGACTTAAATAACATGCTTTTTTACTATTCGAATAGCGATCAATTTATCAGAGTAACCTCGCGCTCAAATTTCATGCTAGTGAAATGTTACCATGTAAAATGTAATAAATAGTTATTACGACTGGTGGGTATATTAATTCAAATTGGGATAGTTCGTCGAAATAATTACAACAATTGTTTTCAAGGTCCTGTCCAGCCTACAAAATGTTCAAGAACGTTTTTCTTCAGAGCGGACATTTTGCAAAAACTTTAATCAAATGTGGAGAATTTAAGAAATGGAGAGAACATGATGAGAGTGCTGGACCGGACCGAAACCTTGGCGGATCCTCAATATCATTAGGCTTGGCACGGACAAACACACGAATGGATAACGCAAGGATGGCAAGGGCAAATAATGGATGGTTTTCTGTGGTCGTGCAATCTTGATACAGTGTTAGGAAATGCTGAAAATTTCTGCAGAGTTAAGACACAGTTAATAAACTGCGGAGTGACTAAAATGCTACAATGACGGAAGATCTTTTAACTCATTGTTAACGAACACAGTTGTGGTGGGGGCCGGGATTACTACGAAATGAACGGAGCGTGCCTTGGATATTGCAATTCGTTACAAGTATTTACACGGTACTGTAAAACATCAATACGGGATCCATCTAGAATGTGAATCATTAATCAGCTTTGTTGGCGAGATTGAAAATCAAAATTTTTAATAATGCAAAAATTGCATTTTAATAATGAGTTTTTTCCCTGCGAAATTAAATCCCTGCGAAATTAAATCCCTGTTTCTAGTTTTATTTTGATTTGAGCGTGGAGCTTGAAGCAGGTCAATCTTCAAATTTCTTGCGGCATATATTAATTGTTGAGTGTTAATATCTATATTATAATTTTAGCATTTATCTATATAATTTTAAGATGGTTCCCGTACAAGATGTTTCACAGCATCTGAAAACTTAGCAATAGAAAACAGAAGTAAGAATCAAAATTAAAATCTGTGTTAAAAATAGGCTCATGATTGTAGTTTTATTATTAAGGCTGGCCAAAAGATACTTCTGTTCGCTTACCAACCGTTTAATTCATTCTCCTGAGTCACAGGCTAATTATTCGGGTTAAAACGGTCCAAAATTTGCATTATGTAGCTCCATTTAATCCGTCGTGTTTTCACATTCGTTACCAAAACGTGAAATTTTGTTGTCATTTCAGCAACTGCCTGATATTGAGGACCAGCACCAGGTCCCATATAGGTGGTACAAACCTTGAAGTTTGAAGCCCTGTGGTAGTGTAGTCTCCTCGATCACACCCCCATCCTCCAGCTCACTTATTTTCAACTTTTCAAAGTTTTTGTGGGGAATGAACGTCACTCCCTTTTCAATGTTCCAGTGTTCTTTGAACTCCTTGCAACCCTTACCAGGTGCCCACGCTACCTAAATAATGGGATTTATGATTCTGAAGAATTGGGATAATGTTTAGCGATGAATTTAATAAAATTCCAGGACTATAAAACTAATACCAGATCATTTGATATTATTAGCCTGAAAATGCATCTTATGTTCCGTACTTTACAAAGTGCTCCGTGCAATTTCAGGTTTTCCTTCAAAAGCTCCTTCAGGACATTTTCTGCGACATCTCTATCATTAACATTTATGTAGGAGCATCCTCGTGGCGGCACCATCTGACGGACCACAAGTTAGGATTTGCAAGGTAAAATTTCAATATAATCATCGAAAGTTTAAAATGTTAAAGTCATTAAAAAAAATAATAATATTAGATAGAAACATATTACTTGAGTGAGGCTGAAGAAAAATTGAATCGTTCAAAAAATAAACAAACTTACATCAATACTGCAGGACTCAGTGTATTTCTTCATTAATGACGAAATATCTGATTTTGTGACCGTTTTTCTCAGGTTTCCAATCCAAATGGTCGTACTCAGCACCGATACGCAGTCGGGCTTCGAGTTTCTGTCCCTTTTCCGGGAGTAGTGGCCCGGACTGGTTGATCTGGATCTCTTACCGGATCTGCCCCCGGATTTGCTACTTCTCCGAGCCTCTGGAGAGCTTCTCCTTCGAGATGATTTGTCTCGAGATCGTTCCCGTGATCTTTCTCGAGACTTATCGCGCGATTTGTCTTGCGACCTGCGGGTATGTTCGGATAATTAGAAAATCAACAGCGAGTACAACTGATTTGAAAATTGCCCAATTAAATCTAATTTGTATGTATGTACTATGTATAATTTGTATGTATGTATAATGTTCAATAATAACCTGTCTCGGGGCCGTTCTGAGTGTGAATCTCGCTTCTCTGATTTGTGGGACTTCTTGTTTCTTTCCGGTGACTTGTGTTTCGACCTACAAGTAGATAAGAGATTTAAAGAGACATTAAAGATTATTTATAGCGTTTCCAGTGGGTTCAGTATCTAGAGAAGATCAATAAAAAAGTCGGCATTTTAATTGCGAACATGGGATCGAATAAATAGGATTTTAATGAGAGCTGGTAAAACACCAAAAGTTACGCACCTTTTTCCAGGTTTATCGATGGGGGAGGGTGTGTAGAGTTTCTCTAAATTTCTGGTGTCATATTTGTCGACTGGTTTAGAAGCTGAAAGCTCCTTGGGAGGAGGATCAGGTTGGTATAAACTGGTATCGTGAGTTGTGGTCACTGGAGAGGGGGTCGAGAGGTTCTCTGTCTTCTGGAGATTAGTAGAGTTAAAAGGGTTGCAGATCTGATCTGTGTCATGATTGTGGAATCAATGGAATGTGAAGTATTGAACTTGTGTGTAGGTATGTACAGAGTGAAATGTGAAGTATTGAACTTGTGTGTAGGTATGTACAGAGTGAATATGTGAAGTATTGAACTTAATATGTGTGTAGTTACAGAGTGTGGACGTAGTTTGGGTGAGGATGAGGCCGGTGTCCAGGTTGCTACGAGATTGTGAGAACTTTCTTTGTGGCGTGACCTTTTCCTCTTGTCAGGATTTGAGCTTTTTGAGCGGTTCGATCCATTTGAGCGCGATCGGTAGAATTCATCAGGTTCCTAAAGCAATATTGCTACACTTCTGCGATCTCAATTCAACGGTATTGTAACTCATTGCACAGTAATTGTGAGCAATTGTATTGTTTAATGAATGAGTGATATATCCTCTGTTTGTTCACTTGGATTCAACAATTATTTGACTGCCACAATAATTATTTATCCATCATCAAGCCATTTATCATCTAACGATGTATTCATCAGACATTTTAAATACAATATACATTTATATATAAAGTATCATAAATATTCAAAAATTAATAGTAACCTTAGGTGTAGGGATAGAAGGAGGAGGAGTAGATTTGCTTTTAGGCGTTCCCTTCTTTCCTGGTTGTTTTATATCGTCCTCATCACTATAATCGAAATCGTCTAACAACGACTGAAGATACAGCTATCAAAGATTAGGTTTTTAAAACTGAGAAAATACGGAGTTCATCGAGTTTAAGAAAGCTGCAACATCACCTAAAAGAGAAAACTAAAAAACAGATAGTAGTGACTAAAAATCAAATTGAGCAGTTAATGACATACCTTCACTTTGTTAGCTGTCTCACTAGCGCGGACGTTGTCATCTGGGACGGCGTTTTCTTTGGGTTGCTGTAAGCAAATTGGTGAATTAACTGGTTAGTTGACCAACTCATATTACATTTTCACTTTCAGGACCCAGATTTAATTCTTCGGAAATTCAATTTTCAGTTGATCGGTAAATTATCATAAAACATGCTTGTAAATGGAGTATTGGTTACAAAACTTACTCCAAAATGAAGTAGTTTCCCTAAAATCGGCGGTATTGACGACGAATTCTGTTTTAACAAAGCCTCTTGCTTCCGCTTCAACTGCGAACGAGATATATCAGTATTGAAATATCAGTATTGAAATATCAGTATTGAAATATATCAGTATAGAGACAATATAGGAAATCTAATTTACAATCCAAAGTCCATATTAAAATATTCCCTTTAATTCCTAAGAACCAAAGTTTACCCATCAGAACAGACTAAAAACACAGAAGTTTAAAAAAAGAAAAAAAGAAATCTTACCTCCTCTTGCTGCTCCTTTATTTTGCGTCTCTGTTCTTCAAGTTCTTTTTGTTGTTTAACTATGTCTGGTGTAGCTACAGGCTTTATAGCCATCTTCGCTATTGATTTCTCTGCTAAACCTACTCCTTCTGTAAATTAATTTGTTAAAAAGATTAGAAAAAAAGGTTAACTTGTTTAAGGCTTTCATTTTGAAAATGTTCGGAGGTGATTTTAATTACAATAATCGAACTCAGCTAATAAGGAGTAATAGTTTTGAATGGTAATAGCATCACACACTATAGTCAAATATTGACCTATGAAAAATGCGACCCAAAAAAGTTTCAGGTGTACTTGCCTTTCCTAGCTTCAGGATTTGCGTTATTTAAACATTTCTGGATGGAATGATACGAAAAGACTTTGTTAAGCTCCCACAGTTTAAATGTTCTGCAGATCTTGACCTGAAGATTTTATCAGTATCAATTTCGATATACGTTTAATGAGAGCATATATATCGTCAAAAACTGTTCAATGAAAGACTTTAAAAGACGATCAAATATTAACTCATAGGGACATTCATGTATTAGGGAGGGATTAGGGAGCCAATTTGTAAACCGCTCACCTGGTCGGTGCGGGAGCATTTGAAGAGATGTGTGGCGGTGATGTGAAGGTTAGACTCAAACCGGCCCGCGTACACGTCCTTCTCCTTGTTCTGGTGGCGGGACTGCCGGACTATCGCATCTATCACGTAAATCCCGGACAACTTGTACTCCGGCTTACACTGAGAGTGGGGACAGGAGATTTAATTTGGGGATACTGAAATCGTCACAAATATTGTAGAATTTGTTGGATTTTCTTGTTTTTCAATGGTATGGTAAATGGTAAAAATAATTTTGGGTATTGTTTAGTTTTGTCACAAGAGGTGCTCCCCCGGCCCCCCAGTATAGAGGTGCCCCCGGCCCCGGCCCAGTATAGAGGTGCTCCCCCGGGCCCAGTATAGAGGTAACTCCTCCCGGCCCCCAGTATAGAGGTAACTCCCCCGGCCCCCCAGTATAGAGGTAACTCCCCCCGGCCCCTCAGTATAGAGGTGCTCCCCCGGGCCCCGGCCCAGTATAGAGGTAACTCCCCCCAGGCCCAGTATAGAGGTAACTCCTCCCGGCCCCCAGTATAGAGGTAACTCCTCCCCCGGCCCCCCAGTATAGAGGTAACTCCCCCCGGCCCCCCAGTATAGAGGTAACTCCCCCCGGCCCCCAGTATAGAGGTAACTCCTCCCCCGGCCCCCCAGTATAGAGGTAACTCCCCCCGGCCCCCCAGTATAGAGGTAACTCCCCCCCGGCCCCCCAGTATAGAGGTAACTCCCCCCCGGCCCCCCAGTATAGAGGTAATTCCCCCCGGCCCCCAGTATAGAGGTAACTCCTCCCCCGGCCCCCCCAGTATAGAGGTAACTCCCCCCGGCCCCCCAGTATAGAGGTAACTCCCCCCGGCCCCCCAGTATAGAGGTAACTCCAGCTCCCCCCCCCCGCCCCCCCCCCCCCAGTATAGAGGTAACTTACCTTCTGAACAAGTTTTTCTACTGACATCACTATGTGCTTGTAGTACTGAAATTGTGGGTTAATTGTGAAACCGGGAATGCTGCATAATTCTTATCAACATTCACAAACTGCGATAGAAAGAATAACGTTAATGTAATGCAATTGAGCGTACAATATTGATTGAGCGATATCAATGCATGAATATCTAACCTTTTGAGCTTTCATAGCATTCCGAGTGATGTCTTTCATCTTGCTGCTCGAGACTGGCGGCTTCTGAGTGAGCATCTCCGCAAGCTGAAAAATATGAGCCCTCAAATACTGATTAAAATACATCCTATACTACGTAAATGTAAGTGGAAATATCAAGATAGGATTTAATATAACATTTGATATAACATTTGAAGCGTTATTTTTTAGTATGACTCCTATTTCAGACGAACCACCGTCAATCTCATAAGAAATTTTGTTGGAGGAAGACTAAAAGGACTTATCATCGTAAATATCACAGAAATTCCCGTTTCACAAAGGTGATTTAGTAAACATTTTGCATAAGAAACAGAATAGGAAATATATAATGTTATATAACTGTTAAATTTTAGATTGGCAAATTACCCGCCAGGAGATACATTGGCACTGGGTGTAAGAACTTCCCCTGAAGTTAGACTTTCGGTTTACACCCCATCCTAATTAAAATCTCTCAATCAATACTCAATATCTAACGGATAAATCCTTCTTGGTGATTGAAATAAGTTACCAATTATTTTTCTTTTTGTGAAATATTATTTTACTGTTTAATTGTTTAATGTAATTTTCTACTTTGTTATTTTGGAACTAAATAAGTTCTAAATAAGTTTCTAAATGAACCCAAGACAAAGAACTGTCGACCATTGGGAGGTGGTACAAATCCCGGTATTTTGAGCACAAGCAGAGAATCGGCGGAACGCTCCCAGGTCCTTGGCTACAAGACGAAGAGAAGGGAGTCGCTCTGTAAGCGAGGAGAGGATTTTGATGCCATCGTAAAAGCAAGGCATCAAATTGGGAGCAGCTCGGCCAGTGAGGATTCCACTGACATAACCAAAGTAGTAGACATAGCTGTAGAAACGGTAGGCCCTGCAACTGTGGGAGACGTTTACGCACCACTCTTATACCGGAACCACCCAGTGAACTGTGACGATATCTTAACGACGGACCAATGATGAAGTGAATATAGTCATATTCGCAGGAGGAAGCAGCAAGATCCCCCTACTACAAACAATCGTGAAAGGAGAGATACCCCACACGACCTATCTCGAAACAATTGACGCCCCACTTTTGTACCGAAACCAGCCCCTCCCAGTGAACTGTGACGATATCTACACGACGGCCGCTGACTTTCAGGAGAAAGTCAGAATAGCTATACATGCTGGAGACAACCCCTGGGCATCCCAAAATGAGCCCCTGGGAGTATTCACCTTGGACGTCACCCCAAGGCATAATGGGGAGGTAATCATCATTGTCAACTTCAGGATGGCCCGAGACGGCATACGTACTTACAGTCGTCTTGAAGAAGACTGGCCGTAATATCGGCGAATTGGAAATGGCAATTGCTAAGGCCATCCTCCAACAAGACCAGGAACAAGTGATAAGCCAGCTTATAGTTTAGCAGCTGTTGTAGTATTATATTACATTGATTATTTATATGTACTAACCTATTGATTGTTCTATAATCTATAGGTCCCTTTACCTCAGAATACAACAAGAAACGACATATGAGAGTGGTACACAAATCACTGATCGAGCAGCTGCTCCTTGATATAGCATAGTATAGGATAGAAGAAATGTTATCGGTTATGCCACACGGCACACCTTCATATTAACTTATTGACTAAATTTATGATTTGATCTAGTTCTCAAGAAACGTCTACGTGTTTTATTACCTACACAAGCAATCATTACAGCAGCTTACCTTATAGACTCACATAACCTTTCTAATAGATCTTATTTTGATGGGAATTTCCACGCTTGTGAAAACGGAGGGAAGACGGGAATGGAACGGCAGAGAATGATGACGTAGGGTCTGGAGATAAGGTAAGAAGCAGCGGGACGATATCAAGAGGATTTAAACAGGATGGAAATTAAGAGATAGTTTTGTGGTTTTACCAATATCTGTAATTTATTAATTTTACCAATTAATCATTATCAAGAGGAGAGAGGCCCTAATGCAATGGCAATAGACTCGGGACTAGATATATGTAGAATTGTTTGTTACTTTTATTATTCGCATTACGGTACGATTACTATCGGAATATTGTGGATTTTTATAGTAGTATCGTATTTTTACCATTGCATTTCGTAAACCTATTTAAACGAGTTATAAGTCTTCTAAACCACTAAGTCTCAGTATCACCTACTGAGGGAAATACAGACAGATTGGTTGGACTTATTAAAGAAATGGTCATTCGCTACTCAGGCTAAAAATCTCAGGATCAATGAGTTTGTGAACATGATCCACTTGATGAGGCAGGCGTTGGACCGGATGAGAATAGCAGAACTTGATGAACCAACACTCACAGAGCGCTACAACTTCAAGCGGTTCTTGAAGTTATATGATGCGCTGGAAGTTAAATACCACATATTGTGGATTTTTATAGTACCGTAGTATCGTATTTTTACCATTGCATTTCGTAAACCTATTTAAACGAGTTATAAGCCTTCTAAACCTTGGCTAAAAGACGAAGAGAAGGGAGTCGCTCTGTAAGCGAGGAGAGGATTTTGATGCCATCGTAAAAGCACTGCGATGGCATTAAGACATGTCCTGATATCATATCTGCATAATATTAATAGTGATATTATATGTTTCTACAGGTCCAGAAAATAAAAGCGATCCCGGCCGCTGAGAATGTAATGATAAGTGTCGGCTGAAAGAATTTAAATTCAGTCGTGACAACCTAATTAACAAGCTACTTCATAATATTATAAATCTATATAATCTAACTTAATAATTTTACAAAATATTCACTGCGTACAGATTACCAGTATTTTATTGAAATATCTTTATGGTAAATATCTGCATTGGTTTAGACTTTTTATTTTATAAAATAAAACTATGGTGTGTCAAGGGGGCTGGGGTAACAGTCAAAATGATAAGTGTATCTTTCAATTGTGTTTAAATAGGAGCTCAGATTTCCGTTTCTTTAGTTCTCTGTGGATTCGACCACTTTTGGTCACGTGATAAAATAACGCTGTCTCAATGGCGTACAGGTCACGTGACTAATCGTCACGTGACTGATCGTGACCTACAGAAGGGCAGCTATAAAGGCTGTTAGTGGTCAAGGGGCAAGGGTCAGGAGATCAAATCCAAGCCAAACTCGCTATTATTAGGTGTTGTTGTTTACACGTGAAATTCACGTGATTAGTCATTTGTAAACCACGTGACAAGAGTAGAGGTGCTGCAGAATTTAATTAACATTGAAATTTCTCCGACAGTACCACATGCTCGATGCCTGAGCCATACTCTTACCCCAACCAACGTTCAACACCCATATCTTCTAAATATGGACCTAAATAACTTACCTTATATTTACTTTCAGTTACCATACCTTCCCGTCTAAGAAAGCCTTGGATGTTGCAGAACATCTGTACGCTGCATACAAAGTGATGAGAAACCGTGGCTATAATGAAGTTTTAACCGTGGCTATAATGAAGTTTTATTAATATACTAATATTGTGTTATACTTTGTTCTAGATTACCAGTATTTTATTGAAATATCTTTATGATCTTTATGGTAAATATATACATTGGTTTAGACTCTTTCTTTTATAAAATAAAACTATGCTGTGCCAAGGGGGCGGGGGTAACAATCAATGAATAAAATCATCGACAAAGATAATCGAAAGACAAAAGAAGCGAAGTCTGAAGGGGGAGAGAAACTTGTATATTAGAGTGAGTATAACCGAGGCCGAGGGGTGAATTTTTAAATTTTACCGAGGCCGAGGGGTGCTTTTTTGGCCTCGGTCAAATGGTGAAAAATGGTGAAAAGTTGTGAACATTTTTTATGACCGTGAATTGGCAAAATAAAAGGAAAATTCACCATTTTTCACCATCGCCCCCCCCCCCCCCCCCCCCCCCCGTGAGTATACTGTAAGTAAATTAACATTAACTATTTTAATAGTAATTTTTAACTTTATTCTACATGATAATGAGTACTAATAATTACTAATGTCAATAGTCATCAATACATGTTTATAAAACAAGACAAAGAACTTACATATGAGTTGTAAATCTTAAATTTCCAGATACAAGAGTCGGCGAATGTCGCTTGCAGTCATGTACAAAGAGGAGGAATTCTGTAAGCGGAAGATTTACATCGCAAGCAAGGTTTTAATGGAAAGCAGGAGTCGATGTCCAACCGTTCAGAAATAGTAGATTACTTGGAGGTTGGCCTGAACTAGGGATGGTTTCACACTGTATGACCGAACCCCAGTGAATTTGCGAATCTTAAGGGATATTGTATGAAGTTTAATTGTATATCCCCGAGGAGAGGGGCAGGCGACCCCCACTTTAAGCCGGAAGCATTGTAACCCAAGGACGAACACTCAAACAGATAAAGCCCCACTTGACGAAAGGAGCAGGATACCTGTTAGGTGACAATCTACACGACGGCCTGAGTTTCACAGATTGCACAAGTGAAATAGCTATACCTTTTTAACCATAGGTCATCCAATCGTTCCTGGTCTTACACCTTGGACTCACCCCAACAAAGGGATAATTCCATCTGTTAAAACTTAGGACCCAGACGTTACATAGTACTTACATGTGTTTAAAGAAGAGCCGTAATTTCCGTTTCATTGAATGCATTGCTTGCCTCCTCAACATTACCGGTAAACATGCATCAGCCATTAGCCGTGTTCGCTGTATTTAAATTATATGTTCTTTATAACTAAACATGTTGATCATATCTAGTCACTTTACCTCAATAAACAGGAACGTAATATGCAGAAGGGTCAAATCATGATCACCAGGCTCACCTTGAAACGTAACAAGTTAATCAGGATGAGAAGAAATGTACGGTTACGACACGGACACTTCATATTAATTTTGTTACTAAATTAATAGGATACAGGAAGTTAACCTGTGTTTCTAGTACGAAGCATGTCGGATTTCCTTCTCTTTAATAATAATACCTTTCTATCAATTAAAGGATTTCCAGTTGAAACGGAGGGAAGGGGAATGGAAGGCAAATATGATTTTCAAGAAATGGTTAGAATTTGAGAGTTTACTTGAATGACATTAAACATGGTTTGAAATTAAACAG